CAGGGATGTTGAAATCCCCAAGGATGATGGTGGGGTAGCTCAGAGGAGAGGAAGAAGGGTAGCCAGGAGGAGAAGTCTTCCAGGAAGCGGGATATGGATCCAGGAGGCCGGTATATCACAGCAATCTTCAGGGGAGTTGGGGAGAATAGTCGGACGCAGTGGGCCTCGAAGGAGGAGAAGGATAGGGAGGGGGGGGTTTGGGAGGACTCGGAAGGTGCTCTGCGGGTGACAGGAGCAGACCAACCCCACCACCTTTACGACCGTTAGGCCTGGGTGAGTGGGTCCAGGTGAGACCTCCATAGGAGAGTGCAGCAGGGGAGGTAGAGTCAGTGGGCTGGATCCAGGTTTCCGTGATCGCTAGGAGGTAGGTTGAGGGAGCCGGAAACAAAGAGGTCGTGGATGGCGGTAAGCTTGTTGCACACCGATCGGGGCGTTCAGGAGTGCACATGAAAACGGGGGGGAGATTTTAGGGAGCAGGGGGACAGATACTAAGTTGTGGGGGGGTTGCAGTAGGACGTGGAGGTGGGAGGGTGTTGAGCGGGTGAGGGAGGTGGAGGGCCAGGATTCGGGGATGTCCCCCGCGGCTAGGAGGAGGAGAAGGGTGAGAAAGGTGGCATGGGAGCAGGATGTACAGGAGCGTGAGAGAAACTCCTAGTGGAGGTGTTGGGGTCAGTGGGAGAGTGGAGTAATAGGAGGAGGTGGTGGGTGCCATAGAGGGGTGAAGGAAGCAGTGAGGACACAATATACAAGTGTTTGGGAGGGGCGGAGGGATATAGTGAATGGATTTTGGGAACGGAGGAGAGGAAAATGAGAAGGAGGAGTAGAAGAGGCATTTTGGGGAGGTGAAGAGAGAGCAATAGTAGGGAGATGATGGCAGTGAGGGGGAGATGTACAGGTTGTGGGGTGGAGCAGAGGGGTAAAGAAATGAGATTTGGGAACAGAGGATAGTAATATGAAGAGGAGAAGAGGGGCGTATTATATAAAAAGGTACACGGAGTGGGTCTCAGGCATGTAAGAGGTTTCCCAGGGTGTTTGCTTGCAGTCTTCCAGCATGCAGTAGACCATCTTAAGGACTGTGTTACTGACTCCAAGTGTACAAGTGTGGAAAATGTGTGGCCGTACAGTTCTTAGGGGGACGCAAACAAATCCAGCAGCTCCTGAGGGGGGTAGTTAGTGCTACAGTAATATATACTGTAGTAGTTTATGTAGTCTTGTATGTAATATTGCACTCACTGGCCCCTTTATTAGGTACATCTGTTCAATTGCTTGGTATCACAAATTGCTAATCAGCCAATCACATGGCAGCAACTCAACATCAAGGCATCTAGATGTGATAAAGATAACTTGCTGAAGTTCAAACCGAGCATCAGAATGGGAAAGAAAGGGGATTTAAGTGACTTTGAAGGTGTCATGGTTGTTGGTGCCAGACGGGCTGGTCTGAGTATTTCAAAAACTGCTGATCTACTGGGATTTTCACACACAACTATCTCTAGGATTTACAGAGAATGGTCCGAAAAAGAAAAAACATCCAGCGAGCCACAGTTGTGTGTGAGGAAAATGCCTTGTTGATGTCAGAGGTCAGAGGAGAATGGGCAGACTGGTTTGAGGTGATAGAAAGGCAACAGTAACTCATGTTAATATGGACCAAAATCTCTGAGGAATGTTTCCAACACCTTGTTGAATCTATGCCATGAGGAATAAAGGCAGTCCTGAAGGCAAAAGTAGGTCCAACCCGGTACTAGCAAGGTGTACCTAACAAAGTGGCCAGTGAGTGTATCTATAGTATTATGAATGCAGTATGACAGTATGATGTAACACCACATGCCATTTTCTTGATGGTCGCTAGTGGTGGGCCGAACACCCCCCCTGTTCAGTTTTCGAACCATTCCCCGTGTTCAACGTTCGAATCTAATGAAAGTTCAACCCGCGAACTTCAAACCTAGGGGACAATTCACTAAGTGGTATCGTACCGCATCCGAGTATGCTGTAAGATACAGTACAGCATTTTTTTTAAAGACACACTGACATTTACTAAAAAATGCTACTAAAATACCAACATGAGTCATGTGGTATTTTAGTAGTGAAAACATGCATTAATGTTTCAGCTGTTAGCGTGGTTCCCCACTGACAGCTGAATGTAAGAAGAATTGCTAACAATTAAAAATTTAGCAAAAAACAGCCTTGCCCCCCCCCCCCCCATCCATACCAAGCCCTTTGGGTCTGGGTTGGAATTTGAGGGGAACCCTCATGGCAAAATTTTTTTTTTAATGGCGTGGGGTCTCCCCCAAAATCCATACTAGACCCTTGTTCTGAGCATGCAGTCCGGTAGGTCAGGAAAGGTGGGGGGGGACATTCCCTCAGCATGGGGGGGGGGTGCTTTGGGGCAGGAGGTCCCTCGCCAAGGGAGCCCCCAGATCCTGTCCCCCCCATGTGAATGAGTATGGGGTACATGGTACTGCTACTCATTCACAAAAAAAAGTGTAGTGTAAAAAATGTCAGTAGACAGTCTTTGACGAGTCCTTTATTAAAACAACAAAAATTAAAAAAAATATCCCCCAAAGTAGATCCAACATCAACCACGATGCCCACAGTAATTTTCTTTTTTCAAGTGCCTGGGGTTTACGTGAAAAGCCATACCAGATCCTTTAGGTTGGTAAGACTTATAAGGGGAACCCTAACTCTCAAAAATGGGGAGAAAGCATGTGGTCCCCACAAAATTTCTACCAGACCCTTTATCCGAGCACAGGCCTGACAAGACAGGAAAAGGGGAGGAACGAACGAGTGCCCCCCCTTCCTGAACTGTACCAGGTCACATGCCCTCAACATGGGAAGGTGCTTTGGGGTAGGGAGCACCCCCAAAAGCACCTTGTCCCCATGTTGATGGGGGACAAGGGCCTTTTCCCCACAACCCTGAGCTGTGGTTGTGGGGGTCTGCAGGGGGGGACTTATCAGAATTTGGAAGTCCCAGATCCACACGCCCCCATGTGAATGAGTATGGGATACATGGTATCACTACTCATTCCCAAAAAAAAAGTGTACTGCAAAAAATTACAGTAGACAGACTTTGACAAGTCTTAAAAAAAAAAGCCAAAAAAAATGATTGTTCCATCATTGTAATCCCATCGTCAATCAAAGTGTCCAGCATTGTCCCAACAACAACAACTTGCCGAAATAAAAAAAAACCATTGCCCGCTGACCTGTCCGCACCCACCGAGCACTCAACGCTAACATTTACTGGTCAGATGTAAAAAATTGGGCGGGAGATAGCAGTGACATCATCGCTAGCTCTGCCCAAGTGTGCTTTAATTGACTTTGACCAATCACAATGCACTGTGAGAGCATCGTGCATTGTGGGGGCGCAGCGAGCGAACAGCCGGCTGAATGCCCTAACCATTTGTGTGTTACATGTGAACTTATGGACATCCCTAAATGGTCACCAACAGGTACATTCTATGTTGCACATAAGGACTCTGTTCTTTATACTGAACTTTGTAATGAGAAAAGCTGCAACATCCTCATCCTTTTAAACTGGATTACACTTACAGAGTATCTTACCCACAATATTTTTGCAGGGGATAACTACATTTGGACTTCAGAGCACAATTCTGAGAAAAGCAGTGAGCCAAGGACATTAGAATATGAGATTCCCTGGGACAATCTGGATACATGTGGTGTACAGAACAGACACTGGTTGTTGTACTGCAAGGAAGTGATATTTCAGTTGGTTTTTGACAAATACTACAATATTTGCAGAAAAGGTCAGCAATTGTATAATGAATTACAAAATAACTTGTGCAGAAATTGTATGTTATATCAACTGAATAGTGAAAGTGGCATTATTTTAAAGAGAAACTGAACTCAGCAAGTTGTGCCCAAAAGAAGGCAGTCAGAGGTCAAATGACTACTCACAAGAATTGTCTGGGGTCTTCCCTCAGTAGATTTTCCCCCCATTGTTGACTTACCAGGCATTGTTCTGCACTGCAGGGCTCATGTCAGAGCCTCCGGCAAGAAGACCTTTACAGGGTATGGGACTTTCCATCCATATCTAAACACCAAAGTCCAATGATGGGGGCTAAACATCCAGTATGCATGAGAACTTAAAGTGATTGTAAAGGCTGAAAGTAAAAAACCTTTTCTGTGTTGCTCCCTCCACAGCCCCCTAATACTTACCTGAGCTCGATCTTCATCCAGCGCTGTGCACAAAGAGCCTCAGCTTCCCTGGGACTCCATCTCCTCATTGGTTGAGACAGCCATTGGCTCCCACTGCTGTCAATCACAGCCAGTGAGTCAATGAGGAGAGAGAGGAAGGCGGGGCTACTCTGTGTCTTATAGGGCTTGGGAGCGAGTATGTACCAGTGCCCCCATAGCAAGTGGCTTGCTATTGGGCATTGGTCAAGGGGAGGAGGCAGAAGCACCAGTGGGGGATCTGAGGAGGATCGGGGCTGCTCTGTGCAAAACCACTGCACAGAACAGGTAAGTACGTTTGTTATTATTTTTTTAAAAAGCTGAACCTTCAATACCACCTTAACATATCTAAACATTTCTAAATATTCATTTTTAACATAGCAAATCTTTTTCCAGGTCAGTTCCACTTTTATTTTCTGTTATGTGCTCTAAGGCTCCTTTCACACAGGTGGCAGTAAAAAAAGCAGCTGATCTACATTGTATTTCCCCTGACCACCCACATACACGCAGGCATGGTGTCACCAGGAGGAGGACACATTGCCGCACAATTTTAACACTACGGACAGAGTCTGACAGGCAAGCACCCTTTACCTGCATAGGCAGTCTTTTGGTAAAAGTGATTTAACCCTTTAAAACAACCACTAGTAATCCATGAAGGAAGAAATGCTTTTCTGAAAAACACGTTTCTTTATACATTTTTTAAACTTGCAGAGTACCTGCTTACAGTGTTGTCTTTTCAGGGGAACTTTACATAATGATAATATAGTACTTTGAAGTAAGTAAAAAGAGGAAGGAGGTTTTTGTACGGCTCTATATCACTGTGTGAATGGTGTATTACCGGTATAGTGACAGCAATATATGGCTTCATCTTGTTCTTCTACTTTGCTGATTGTTAAGGTGAAATCATTTCCCGATTTAGAACCACTGAACCGCTCTGAGATCCCAGAGTATCTCTGGTTTGTTTTATAGATAAGAGGTTTCAGTGATTGTCCAGATATCAGTTGGTACCAACTTAAGTAGCTGGTAGAAGAACTCAGTTTACATGTGATGGTGACCGAACCTCCTGGTGACACCGCAATGTGATCTGGAGTCTGCGTTATTGCCATTTGACCGCAGGATCCTGAGGATGGAGGACAGAAGGAGACATTTAGTATCTAATAATAATATATGCTTTATAACGTAAGTTACATGTACAATCATTGGTTTGGATTAACTCTCACCCTGAATATAAAGCAGTATGAGAGGCAGCAGAACCCCCTGAGAAGCCATCCTGATGTCTCTGCACTGACACACACAGACTACTGAGATGTCACCGGTACAATGTCTCCTATATAACAGCTGACATCATTTGGAGGGAACACCCCCATATCAAAAACAGTATGTAAATCAGGAAGCATACAAATGATTTCATGTCTATTATATAACATGTTATGATTTATGTTGATATCTGTCTTCTCTTTATCTTTCCATATCTTACACAAGATCTGCTTTTTTTGAAAATGGGCAAATTTAGACAACAAAACAACACTGAGCCCATAAAACAGAACAAAAAGACCTGGATTACATGCACACCAGCATCTCCATAATGTCCCCATCAGAGACAATGCTGAGACAAGGTCCTCTGACACACAAGTTGAACATGACCAAGCTATCTGAGCTGAGACAGATGTAACGTGTATGTTCAATCATACAATGGCCAGGCTGGTGCAGGGTGCAGAAATTATAATTATATGGGATAAAAAAAAACATAGAGTGCTACACAAGTTCTCCATCAAGTCTCTCCCCCATTTGTTTTGTTTTTTTTTATTTTGCCCATTTTATTTTTTTATTTTTTTCGCTTACTCAGTTTTTCTATCTTTGGCATTCTTAAATTCAGTTACTCTTGTTTGACTCACTGGGGTTGGTTTACTAAAGGTAAATAGGCTGTTCACTTTGCAAGAGAATTTGCCCCAGAGCTTAGTGAATGCGGTTAAATTTCACTTTGTTAACAATACCCAGTCGCGTGCAAGGAGAAAAAAACAAAAACATTTTTTGCTTGCACATGATTGAATGATGGAAGTCAACACAGCTTCGTTTCATTCATTAATGGATAAGTGTACCACCTTTTGTAACATGATGCATGTTACATGTTCCACCTCTATTCAGGGCATGTCATGTTACGAATGAACCAGCCCCCATACCCCCCCAAATCTCTACCCCCACCCCCGCTAGCTGTTACAATTTTAAAAAAAACACGGCCATGTGAGGCTCTGCCTGCATCATTCATTCACAGTATTGTGTGAATGAGAACACTACATGCTTCCAACAGTCTTTGGGGCTGTCGGCTTGTAGTTTTCATTGAACTACCATAGTGCTGTGGAGCTCTGTGGTAGCTCATTGAGTCTACCTCTCAGTAAGTATCTGCTTTCCCTTACACAGATACAATGACAGCCTGCAGGAGACCTGCATGGCACCAATGATCTGCTGATCGCTGATGCAATGCTTTAGAGGCTCCAGAAACAAAAAAATAATAAATGCACATTTTTTTGCCTTTAAAAAAAGTGCATTTATTATTTTTTGTTAAAAGGTGAATGTATCCTTTAGAGTGTTCCTAAACCCAGGACCCTGCATTCACTATATCCGGTCTCCCCGGACCCTGCATTCACTATATCTGGTCTCCCTGGACCCTGCATTCACTATATCCGGTCACCCCGGACAATGCATTCACTATATCCGGTCTCCCTGAACCCCACATTCTCTATATCTGGTCTCCCCGGACCCTGCATTCACTATACCCAGTCTCCCCGGACCCTGCATTCACTATATCCGGTCTCCCCGGACCCTGCATTCACTATATCCGGTCTCCCCGGACCCTGCATTCACTATATCCGGTCCCCCGGACCCTGCATTCACTATATTTGGTCTCCCAGGACCCTGCATTCACTATATCTGGTCTCCCCGGACCCAGCATTCACTATATCTGGTCTCCCCGTACCCTGCATTCACTATATCCGGTCTCCCAGGACCCTGCATCCACTATATCTGGTCTCCCCGGATCCTGCATCCACTATTTCTGGTCTCCCCAGACCTTGCATTCACTATATCTGGTCTCCCCGCACCCTGCATTCACTATATCCGGTCTCCCCGAACTCCGCATTCACTATATCCGGTCTCCCCGGACAATGCATTCACTATATCCGGTCTCCCGGACCCTGCATTCACTATATCTGGTCTCCCAGGACCCTGCATCCACTATATCTGGTCTCCCCAGACCCTATATCCACTATATCCGGTCTCCCTGCACCCTGCATGCACTATATCTGGTCTCCCCGGACCCTGCATTCACTATATCCGGTCTCCCTGAACCCCACATTCACTATATCCGGTCTCCCCGGACCCCGCATTCACTATATCTGGTCTCCCCGGACCCTGCATTCACTATATCCGGTCTCCCCAGCCCCTGCATTCACTATATCCGGTCTCCCCGGACCCTGCATTCACTGTATTTGGTCTCTCCAGACCCTGCATTCACTATATCTGGTCTCCCGGACCCTGCATTTTACTATATCTGGTCTCCCAGGACCTGCATTCACTATATCTGGTCTCCCCCGGACCCTGCATTCACTCTCTCTATCTCGTCTCCCACAGTACATACAACATGAAAAATAATATTATTATTGTAGATATAAACTACTAAATACCTTTTCTCATCCGCAGTTAGAGTAGTCTTGTGACTTCTATCAGTGTTCAAACAAAACCCTGGTTAAAGCTTGTAGGAGGAGTTTTCTCTAGGAGGATGCAGAACCCCTGACCTCTGTTTGGGCAGTGCTGATTGGCCCTGTGGTGATCAAATGCACCTCCCAAGAAAAAAAAATATCTTTAGCAACGCACACCAAACTGAGCATGTGCAGAGTGACTCCACACAATATGTCTTATCAGGAGATAAGAGGGGGACACTGGCAGAAGGGGAGGTTCAGAGAAGACAGGATCAAACAGCCTTTTTACAGAATGCAGAGGACTAACCCCTTAGGTTCCACAGTGAATATAACAAGCATGCTTTACTGCATATACAGACTGATTGTACTGTTGTGGGTTTAGTAACACTTTAAGCTCTGGGGCAAATTGCCTTGCAAAGTACAACATCCGTTGCAAAGTTTCACCCTCTCTATTTCTGCTAGAAGTCTGTTTCAAACATCCCTTACTCCTTTGGTATAATAACACTTTTTTAGTCCTCATGCAGACTGGACGGTTTTACAGCGGCTGTTTTTGGGATTTTTTGACGTTTTTTTTTCTACAGCCAATAAACTCCCCAGCATGTTATCCTATGTGTCCGTGCACGCAGAGGCTTTATTCAGCGTTTTTTTGCCTGGAAAACAACCCTTTTTTGGCTGGAAAAACAACCCAGAACTAATGGGTTTCAAGAGGAGTTTAGCTGTAAAAAAACACTTTAACGCTGGTAAATGCAGCAAAACACGGTAAAACGCGGCAAACTGGCATTTGGGGCTTTTTTGGAGCAAACATTTTTTTATGCATGTGAAAACCACAAAAATAATGCTAAAAATTGCAAATGTAGATAAACGCGGCTATAAGCTCATGCAAAAATGCTAAAAAATGCAAAAAAAACGTTTCTAACGTGAGTTTATACAGTTAATGCTACCAACAATTTTAAAACACCCAGTGTGTATGAGGCTGAGGTCAGTTTTTATTTTCCTCCTGCTTGTCTAATTTCATGCCCCCCATGTTTATGATTCCGGCAAGAAGACCTTTACAGGGTATGGGACTTTCTATCCATACCTAAACACCAAAGTCCAATAAAAGGGGTCTAAACATCCAGTATGCATGAGAACTTAACCTCCCTAGTGGTCTGATTATGTCCATATTTCTGTGCTCAAAGTGGTACTTTTTTTGCATGGAAATATGTTTTTTTTTTTTATTGTCGGCCTGTAATTTTTAGGAATAACTCACTGAAATCTGTCCAAACAAGAGTCTAGTGAACATCCCGGGTATGATAAAACTTGAAACACGAAATCATAAATTATAATTTATTAAATAATCATAAAAAATAATAATATAATAATAATAAATTTAATTCAATAATATAATCAAACCAAAAAACACTGAAATTTGAAATATAGCGCCAAGTTCGCACATCGCTGAGCAAAGTCGCAAAATTGTTTTCAGTGTCTGATGACGAATTTCCCCACGAATCATTATCACTCAATTCTGCAAGTGGTTCTGATTTACTATCGCTGTTCTCTAGCCGGTCTAAAACCGCTTTTGACCTAAAGGGACGCTTTTTGGACGCCATGGACGTTTCTCAGTTTCCAGGCAGAAAGAACAGTCAAAATGCAGGCAGGGCGCAGGACAAAATGTATGTGAAATGGTGTGATACAGTAATGTTTTACTATGTGATTTTAGTGTATTTAGTGAATGTCACTTTTTGTCATTTTCAAATTTCCCGCTGTTTCGTCCCCCGTACGTCCTGACGCTCGCAGGGGACAGAACCCAGATGACAGATGCCAGCATCCGCCGGGGGACATTGCCGGGGACACTGCAGGAGGGACATCGCGGGAGCGCAGTACAAGGTAAGTGATCGAGGGATCCCGGAGCAGCACCGCATGGTAAGCCCGAGTGTAGCTCGGGGTTACTGCTTGTGGTACTGAAAATTTACCCCGAGCTACACTCGGGAATACCGCCAGGGAGGTAAAGTGATTGTAAAGGATCAAAGTGAAAAAACCTTTTCTGTGCTGCTCCTTCCACAGCCCCCTAATACTTACCTGAGCTCGATCTTCATCCAGCGCTGGGCACAAGAGCCTCAGCTTCCCTGGGACTCCCTCTCCTCATTGGTTGAGACAGCCATTAGCTCCCACTGCTGTCAATCGCAACCAATAAGTCAATGAGGAGAGAGAGGAAGGCGGGGCCAAGCCGCTACTGTGTGTCTTATAGGGCTTGGGAACGAGTATGTACCAGTGCCCCCATAGCAAGTGGCTTGCTATTGGGTCATTGGTCAAGGGGAGGAGGCAGGAGCGCCAGTGGGGAATCTGAGAACAGGAGGATCGGGGCTGCTCTGTGCAAAACCACTGCACAGAACAGGTAAGTACGTTTGTTATTTAAAAAAAAAAAAAGCTGAACCTTTAATACCACCTTAACATATCTAAACATTTCTAAATATTCATTTTTAACATCTTTTTCCAGGTCAGTTCCACTTTTATTTTCTGTTATGTGCTCTAAGGCTCCTTTCACACAGGTGGCAGTAAAAAAAGCAGCTGATCTGCATTGTATTGCCCCTGACCACCCACATACACGCAGGCATGGTGTCACCAGGAGGAGGACACATTGACAGGCTAACAGGCAAGCACCCTTTACCTGCATAGGCAGTCTTTTGGTAAAAGTGATTTAACCCTTTAAACAACCACTAGTAATCCATGAAGGAAGAAACACGTTTATTTATACATTTTTTAAACTTGCAGAGTACCTGCTTACAGTGTTGTCTTTTCAGGGGAACTTTATATAATGATAATATAGTACTTTGAAGCAAGTAAAAAGAGGAAGGAGGTTTTTGTACGGCTCTATATCACTGTGTGAATGGTGTATTACCGGTATAGTGACAGCAATATATGGCTTCATCTTGTTCTTCTACTTTGCTGATTGTTAAGGTGTAATCATTGCCCGATTTGGAACCACTGAACCGCTCTGAGATCCCAGAGTGTCTCTTGTTTGTTTCATAGATAAGAGGTTTCAGTGATTGTCCAGATATCTGTTGGTACCAACTTAAGTAGCTGGTAGAAGAACTCAGTTTACATGTGATGGTGACCGAACCTCCTGGTGACACCGCAATGTGATCTGGAGTCTGCGTTATTGCCATTTGACCGCAGGATCCTGAGGATGGAGGACAGAAGGAGACATTTAGTATCTAAATAATAATATATGCTTTATAACTTATGTTACATATACAATCATTGGTTTGGATTAACTCTCACCCTGAATATAAAGCAGTATGAGAGGCAGCAGAACCCCCTGAGAAGCCATCCTGATGTCTCTGCACTGACACACACAGACTACTGAGATGTCACCGGTACAATGTCTCCTATATAACAGCTGACATCATTTGGAGGGAACACCCCCATATCAAAAACAGTATGTAAATCAGGAAGCATACAAATGATTTCATGTCTATTTATAACATGTTATGATTTATGTTGATATCTGTCTTCTCTTTATCTTTCCATATCTTACACAAGATCTGTTTTTTAAAAATGGGCAAATTTAGGCAACAAAACACTGAGCCCATAAAACAGAGTAAAAAGACCTGGATTACATGCACACCAGCATCTCCATAATGTCCCCATCAGAGACAATGCTGGGACAAGGTCCTCTGACACCACAAGTTGAACATGACCAAGCTATCTGAGCTGAGACAGATGGAACGTGTATGTTCAATCATACAATGGCCAGGCTGGTGCAGGGTGCAGAAATTATAATTATATGGGATAAAAAAAACATAGAGTGCTACACAAGTTGTCCATCAAGTCTCGGACCCATTTGTTTTGTTTTTTTATTTTGGCCATTTTATTTTTTAAATTTTTTTTTTTTTTTCGCTTACTCAGTTTTTCTATCTTTGGCATTCTTAAATTCAGTTACTCTTGTTTGACTCACTGGGGTTGCTTTACTAAAGGTAAATAGGATGTTCACTTTGCAAGAGAATTTGCCCCAGAGCTTAGTGAATGCGGTTAAATTTCACTTTGTTAACAATACCCAGTAGCGTGCAAGGAGAAAAAAAACAAAAACATTTTTTGCTTGCACATGATTGAATGATGGAAGTAAACACAGCTTCATTTCATTCATTAATGGATAAGTGTACCACCTTTTGTAACATGATGCATGTTACATGTTACACCTCTATTCAGGGCATGTCATGTTACGAATGAACCGGCCCCGTACCCCCCAAATCCTCTACCCCCCCCCACCCGCTAGCTGTTACAATTTTAAAAATAACACGGCCGTGTAAGGCTCCGCCTGCCTCCCTACATCATTCAATCACAGTATTGTGTGAATAAGAAACACTACATGCTTCTAACAGTCTTTGGGGCTGTCGGCTTGTAGTTTTCATTGAACTACCATGGTGCTGTGGAGCTCTGTGGTAGTTCATTGAGTCTACCTCTCAGTAAGTATCTGCTTTCCCTTACAGATACAATGACAGCCTGCAGGAGACCTGCATGGCACCAATGATCTGCTGATCGCTGATGCAATGCTTTAGAGGCTCCAGAAACAAAAAATAATAAATGCACATGTTTTTGCCTGTAAAAAAGGTGCATTTATTATTTTTGTTAAAAGGTGAATTTATCCTTTAAAGTGTTCCTAAACCCAGGACCCTGCATTCACTATATGTGGTCTCCCCAGACCCTGCATTCACTATATCTGGTCTCCCCGGACCCTGCATTCACTATATGTGGTCTCCCCGGACCCTGCATTCACTATATCTGGTCTCCCCGGACCCTGCATTCACTATATGTGGTCTCCCTGGACCCTGCATTCACTATATCTGGTCTCCCCGGACCCTGCATTCACTATATCTGGTCTCCCCGGACCCTGCATTCACTATATGTGGTCTCCCCGGACCCTGCATTCACTATATCTGGTCTCCCCGGGCCCTGCATTCACTATATCTGGTCTCCCCGGACCCTGCATTCACTATATCTGGTCTCCCCGGACCCTGCATTCACTATACCTGGTCTCCCCAGACCATGAATTCACTATATCTGGTCTCCCCAGACCCTGAATTCACTATATCCGGTCTCCCTGAACCCCACATTCACTATATCTGGTCTCCCCGGACCCTGCATTCACTATATCTGGTCTCCCCGGACCCTGCATTCACTATACCCAGTCTCCCCGGACCCTGCATTCACTATATCCGGTCTCCCCGGACCCTGCATTCACTATATTTGGTCTCCTCAGACCCTGCATTCACTATATTTGGTCTCCCCGGACCCTGCATTCACTATATCTGGTCTCCCCGCACCCTGCATTCACTATATCTGGTCTCCACAAACCCTGCATTCACTATATCTGGTCTCTCCAGGACCTGCATTCACTATATGTGGTCTCCAAGGACCCTGCATTCACTGTATCTGGTCTCCCACAGTACACACAACATGGAAATGCAATTATTTTAGTAAATATAAACTGCTAAATACCTTTTCTCATCAGCAGTTAGAGTAGTCTTGTGACTTCTATCAGTGTTCAAACAAAGCACTGGTTAAAGCTTGTAAGAGGAGTTTTCTCTAGGAGGATGCAGAACCCCTGACCTCTGTTTGGGCAGTGCTGATTGGCCCTGTGGTGATCACATGCACTCTCCAAAAAAAAAAACAAAACCTTTAGCAACGCACACCAAACTGAGCATGTGCAGAGTGACTCCACACAATATGTCTTATCAGGAGATAAGAGGGGGACACTGGCAGAAGGGGAGGATCAGAGAAGACAGGATCAAACAGCCTTTTTACACAATGCAGAGGACTAACCCCCTTAGGTTCCACAGTGAGTATAGCAAGCATGCTTTACTGCATATACAGACTGATTTTACTGTTGAGGGTTTAGTAACACTTTAAGCTCTGGGGCAAATTGCCTTGCAAAGTACAACATCCCTTGCAAAGTTTCAACCTCTCTATTTCTGCTAGAAGTCTGTTTCAAACATCCCTTACCCTTTTGGTATAGTAATACGTTTTAGTCCTCATGCACACTGGACGGTTTTACAGCGGCTGTTTTTTGGGGTTTTTTTGTATTAACAATTTTTATTGATTTTTATATATATATATATATATATATACACAAAGAACACATTAAAAGAGAACAAAAACGTAAGAAGGAGCACACTGATGGTGAAATCTGCAGGACTGGAGGAGGGTGGGAGGGGGAGAAAAATTATCCCATGGAGGCCACACTGCCTCAAACACAGCAGTCGAGCAATTATGTACAGCAGTCAGATATTCCATCCGTCGCACATCAGCAACAATTTTAAACAGAGTTGACATCGAAGGAGGTGTGTAGCGGATAGCCAACACATAGGAATGCTTCTTCTGGCCGCAGTCAGAATATGTGTGGTGAGTTTCCTGGACACTTTAGGGAGACCTGGGAATGGCAGGCTCAATAAAAAGTATAGAGGCTCAAAGGGGAGAGAGGTATTCAATAACAATTGTAAAAAAAGACAAAACCTCTTCCCAAAAAGGGACAATGGATCCACAAGTCCAGAAAATGTGGAAGAGGGAGCCAAAATCTTTCCCACAACGCCAGCAGACGGAAGAAGCATTCGGGTTAAAAGTATGAATAACCTCGGGGGTTTTGTACCACAACATCAAAATTTTGTATGTATTTTCTCTATAAACCACACAAACAGAAGATTTAGATGCGTTTTCCCAAATTTTCTTCCACTGTGTTAGATCAATTGCAAAAACTGGGACCACTTGCGCATGTAGTGGTGAGTGTCATTAGAAAGGGGAGTAGCGTCCATTAAGACTTTGTATGTATTAGAAATGATGTCCCTTTGATGTGGGCCCTGCATGCATGGACGTTCAAAGGGAGAGGGTTTCCCAAGAGTTAAAGTTGGGGACATGGTGGAGAAAAAATGGCGTATCTGAGGTTTTTGGATTTTTTAAAGTTTTTTTTTTTCTATAGCCAGTAAACTCCCAGCATGTTATCCTATATGTCCATGCACACATAGCTTTATTCTGAGTTTTTTTGGCAGAGGCCCTTTTTTGGCTGGAAAAAAAAAAACAGAACTAATGGGTTTCAAGAGAGTTTTTGTTTGCTGTAAAAACACTTTAACGCTGGTAAATGCAGCAAAACACGGTAAAACGCGGCAAACTGGCATTTTGGGGCTTTTTTGCAGCAAACTTTTTTGTATGCATGTAAAAAAACGCTAAAATAAAGCTAAAAAACTGCAAACGCAGATAAACGCGGCTATAAGCTCATGCAAAAAAACGCTAAAAAATGCAAAAAAAAAAAAAAAAAACGTTTCTATCGTGAATTTATACAGTTAATGCTACCAACATTTTTAAAAACGCCCAGTGTGTATGAGGCTGAGGTCAGTTTTTAATTTTCCTCCTGCTTGTCTAATTTCATGCCCCCCATGTTTATAATTTTAGCATTGAAAACACTGCTCACCTTATTCATGCCCCTAGGTGTATGCGTGGTGTTGTGACATGGTTAAACCATACGATTTACTCTATTGGGCACCGTGACACAGATCCAGGCTTTCATTAACCCCTTCACTCCGACGTCACACAAATATGCGGCCTCACAGAACTGGGCTTTTTTCCGTGGGGGCGCATATTCCATGGGGCCGCACTCCCAGCACAAAGACCACGGTGTCACTGAGAGCACCGGGTCCCGTTCTAACGAACGGGTCCCGTTCTAACGATCGGGACCCGAAACTCCCGATTCCGGGTCACTTGATCGCTGTGATAGCCAATCAGAGGCTATCACAGTGATCAGTCACTGTACAGCCCGCCCTCTTGGTTTTTTTTTCCCTATGAATTGAGGAGAGAGAGATAAATTGTATCTCTCTCTCTCCTTGCATAGAGAAGAAAAAAAAAACAAACTGTTTGTATAAAAAAAAATAAAAAAATAAATAATAAAAAAAAAAAAAGAATAAATACATAGATCAAGGTTTGATCTAGTTCAATGCCAGGGTTAGTGTTTGGGTCAAGGTCAGCGTCAAATGTCAAGGCCAAAGGTCAGGTTTTGATTTTTTTTTTTTCTTTTTAAATTGGTATCAGTGTCAATTAGTGTCAGTGTGTTTTAGGTAAAAAAAAAAAAAAAAACAAAATGTGCACTATTGTTTCTGGGCTGTACTACGGGTACAAACAA